TTACTGGAATGATGGAGGAGACAGCTGTCAAAGTCAGAGAAGCCAGCCCAGGAGGGGCACTTAGCTCTGTCTCTGTTGCTAGAGGCCCTTACCAAGGCCAACTCAGTGTGTCAGGGAGAAATCACAGACCACTCAAATACTGTATGTCTATCAGCTCCTTGCCTCACCGACACTGGATGCTCATTAGCCAAGGTCAGGGTCCTGGGGAGGGTGTGAGTGTGTGTGCAGGCGGGTGCATTCTTTGTACGTGAATACCCCATGTAACCCCTTCACTCCTGCTAAGCCCAGAGGCGTCCTGCCCTGGGAGTGACCAGATGGCCAGGAACTTCAGTCTCCGGCCCCTTGTCTGATCGAATGACCCTGAATGGGCTGCCTGGGACAAGAGAACACCCGGGCAATGAGATATCAGAATCTTCCCTCAGCTTCCTGCCGCTGACTTCAGCCTTCCTCCCAGGAGCCAGAGCCAGGACCAGTTCCTAGACTGAAGGGGCAGACAGCTCCAGTCCTGACCTGTGGAGCCCCCCTGCAGGCGGCTTGTCATAGCCACTGCAGGAGGAGACCCGAGTGTGGAGGAGGGGATCCCAGTACTCCCCCCCCCCCCCATACCTTCCTCCTTTGTCCCTGCAGGGCTGGAGAAGCCCAACATTGGCCTTTGGTCATCTTCTCTCTCCGGGCTGGGATGGTCATGAGGCTGGGTGGACAGAGCATATGGACTTGGGAGACAGGTGAACCTAGCTGTCAGTCCTGCTCCCACAGCTCATTAGCTGAGGTGTCATCTTCATTATGTTGCCTGAGAAATGGAACTGATAATGTCTGTCTGTAACATTGTGGTAAGGAGCATATAGGAGAAATATGTAAAACACTTCTTAAAGCTTAGCACACAGTAAGCACTAAATAAATGTGGCTGTGGACCTCTGGTTTCTGTGCTTCAGACTCTTGGTCTTTTTCTGAAGGCTTGATCTTCAGGAAAAGGGAGTGCCTCCTTGACCTGTCCCTGAGTCACTTATTCATTCAACTGATCCTCATTTACTGGAGGTCTGACATGTGCCAGCCTGACTTAATATTGTGGGATATAGCATAACATGTCAACCATGGCCCATGCCCTCCAGGCGCTGATAATCTAGTCGCGTACAAGACATATGCCCACGTAACCAGTAGTAGACTAAGATGTGCCGAGTGCCACCTTGGAGGGAAGGCCCTCAGAGTTCAAAGAACTTCTTGCCTCCTACAGTGCTGGTACTGGTGGTGGCAACGAAACTGATTGGGATGGTTTGGAGGGCTTCATGGAGGGGGCAGACTGGGGCAAGACCTTCCAGGATAGGTAGAAAGCAGTCTGAGGGGCTTCACTCCTAGTGGAACTAGGGAGGTGTTGTGAGTGGCTGGAGACTGAGGGCTTTGTCACCAGTCTCAAATTTCGTGCTGGGGTGGGGCTGACTGACTTGGAACTTCAAACGTGGGTTCTGGAGAAAGCGGAGAAAGCTTTCCACCCGGGTGAAGTGAGACTGGTGAGGAGCTGGGCCAGGGCTGGGGCGGCTGAGTGAGCCTGGAAGTCTGATCAAGCCAAGCTTCCAGGTTCCATCTGTGTGTGCCTTGAACAGCCTGGCCTCCCTCCACCCTGCTCCCCAAGACCCACCCCACCACCCTGCAGCTCTGGTTCCCAGGCGTTTTCTGCTTATGTTGCCACCTCCTGCCTGATTTTGCCTCTTGCCCCTGCCCACTGAGCCCTGACCTCCTAGTGCAGGAGGGGATAATGGTGGCAGGCCTCCTAGCTCTACTTCCTCAGGTATGCCCACTTACCTTTGCTCACTTGCCTGGCCAGCTCCCTCCTCTCCCGCCTCTGCCCGCTATGGCATGCATCTCCAAACTGGATGGCCAGGCCCCTTCTTTGGTGGTTACCTCTTGCTGTTACTCTCAGTATTTGGGCTACTGTGGTGGTAAGGGCAAAATTAAGACCCTTGATGCCCTGGAGAGGTTCCTAGATCTTCTGGTAACACCAGAACACCAGAAGCCATGCTGGTCTGTGCATGCAGGGAGCTGGCTCCACCATGCCTTCCTCTCCCACCTTCAGCGAGGAGATTGCAATCCAGCCCTGACTTCTTGTATGTCTGGAGGCCAAACCATTGAGAGGGTCTTACCCCCAAGATTCCCTGCTCCCACTGGCTGCCCTCAGGTGATTAGCCTTGACCCTCAGGGTGTAGGAAAGACCCTGTAGGCAAGAATAGGGACACACTGGCTCCATAAGCAGAGTAGCCCATAGGGAACGCTCCTGAGCCAGTGAGGACCTTACTGCCATCTCTTCCTCAGTTGGTGGGCAGTAACTCACCACCCCCACCACTGTCCCTACCCCAGGGGCCTGGCTTTGGACTTCAGGAGGCCTCAAGGATGCGGTTCAGCTGTGGAGTGAAGAAGCAGTGTCTTCTCTCACCAAACTACCTCCCCCCCCAACCCCAGACACTGTGAATGAGTCACCCACCCACCTAGGCCTCTGCCCCTTGAGTCACCTTCTCTTTCCTGTGCCCCAAAGGAGGCAGAAAAGTAAAATCTCCTGGGGCTCCAGATACAGGGGAACCAATGGAATCCCCTAGGGCCAAGGCACGCTCAAGAATTCTCATTTCTACAAAGAAGATATTGGGGAGAGGGAATAAAATGCCTCAGGCCACTAAGGACCCTCTGAAGATATCCAGGGGATCCAGCTAATAGTGCACGTTCTCCATTTCTGCAGGCGCCCTTCTCCTTCTGGGGGGTGTGGCCTGTGAAGTGGGGTGTGAACATGCATTTATTTGTGTGGTTGAAAACACGGGCTGGCACAGGGAAGGCGTCCAGTGTGTATTTTTGCACATTTGTAGTGTTCACTTGTATTCCACTGTGCACGAATGTACACCTGACTGCCTCCAAGTGCACGTGCAGATATGCAGCCATGCTGAGGAGCATCCTGCGGGCAGCACCCGCACAGGCTGGGCGCTTCAGTATGCCCTGCCCAGGTAGGAGCTTGCCTTGAGAGCCGGGACATGTCTGCTTGGCAAGCTGGCTTTGGAGATCCATCCCGACAGCCTGGCTCCCCTCCCTCCCCCCAGAAAGAATCCTTGCCATGCCCAGGGGGAGGAGACTGTGGAGTCCAGAGGCCAGCCTGGAGGACGCCCATGAGGCTGGCTCTCTCTCTTCTTTCCTCTTCTCCTCCGGCCTGGCTGTGGAACAGCCACGAGTGCTCCTGGCCGGTTTTCAGCCAGAAAACAAAACAACAACTACCCTGGCCCTGACCCTGGGACTTCCTTCCCCATAAGGAGGGACATCCGACTCCCCATCATCCAGATTCCATAGCTTCTTCAGAGGGAGGCGCAGCTCCTCAGCACATCTCTCCTCACTCCCCCCTTCCCATGCATTCCTCAGCCATGACATCCCCCCATGGGGCACCCACTTATGGGCAGCCAGCCCTGGGCCTGGGCCACCTTCCCCTTGCCTTGCCCCCACACAGCCCTGGTCCTGCAGCCAGCACAGCCCTGTGCCCTCTGTTCTTGAATTTGGGGTTCTGCTGTGAAGCACTCTGAGGCCTCACCAGGATGCCCTTGGGAAATAAGAGCTGAACTTGAGCTTACAGTGTTATTAGCTGTTGGTCGTTAACAGTCGCCACTTACTATGCCCAGGCTCTGTTCAGGTGCTTTATTTACATGTTTATTTTACACAGTAATCCTAAGAGACCAATTCTATGATTAGATTTCTATTTAGAATCAAAATTGAGGTTTTTTAAAAAATGTATTCATACAGAGCTGGGGTACAGGCCAGAGGTGCAGAGGGTGAGAGGACTCACCCAAGACAGAGTGGGGAACAGAACAGGCAGATCGACAAAAGTACACTGCTGAGGGGAGCAGTGGGGGGTCAGGAGAGGTCTGCTGCATCTTGTGGATCACCTCCGGGGCTAAGGGTTGAGGATTGAACTGGTGCCTGCCGCAGTGGCTGCGATAGCTTCATCGCGCTGTGCTTTAACCCATCGCACCTCCAGGGAGAGCCCGAAAAATTGAGGTTGAGATGAGTTTCTATGACCTGCCAGCTAGTGGTAGCCAGGCTGGGATTCAAAGACAGGTCTGTCTGACTAAAGATCTCTCTCTTTGCTGCTTTGTCCAAAGGTGAGTCTTGCCGGTCACATGGGTATGGAGGTGCCTATGGGTGTGGGCGTGTGAGCCTGGAGGTGCAGTGTATGTGCAAAGTGTGCAAAGGAGTGTTTAGGAGGCATCCTTGTGGGTACCTCCAAGGTACCCTTGGTGTGTACCTCCAAGATACCGTCCCAGTCCTTGCTAGGCCACCCATGTCAACTGAAAAGCAACTTCTTTGGGTACAACCCCATTAATGGCTGAGCTAAGGCCATCCAGGGTGACATTCGAGTAAAAGAATCTTTCTTGTGTGGTGGAAGATTCTGGGCCACTTACCAGCTCATGACTATGGGCAAGTCATTTTTCCACTTAGATCCGAGCATTCTGAAAGTTGGGGAGATAGTCTGGAATGTAGCTACTCGTTATCTCTGCAAGCAGGTCCTGGGTGGGCTGGGATGAAACGATGCATTAATCCAAAGTGTTTTGTCAATGGAAAGGCACCGCATTCATCTCAGCAGACATTGATATGTGCGCGTGTGGCCACTGTTACTGTTTTAATGGGTCCAGAGCCTGCAGTTGCTTTGTGAGTGCTGGAGCGTGTGTGTGTTTCGTAGGACTGTCTGTTTCTGTTTGTGTGTCTTGGGCAGCTGGGTGTGTGGGTGTCTATTTCTGTGTCTGTGTATTTACAAAATGGGTTCTACGGGAATAATGAATTTCAGTGCAGTGAGCACTGGACTGAGAATCAGTCTACAGATCCAGCCTTTCCAGTGACTATACAATGTGGTCTTGGTTCAGGCATTTCCCTGTTGGGCCTCAGTTTCTTCATCTGGCAAATGGAAGTGTGGCCTGGATCAGTGCCGAAGGCACAACCCCCTCCTGCTGGGCAGGTCCAGATCACACCTATACAGTGTGTGGATGGATGTGTGCTTGCAGGCCTGAAGAATGTAAGCGTGACACTTCATTGGAACAAGCATTGCTGAGTGCCTCCCCCAGGCACGGTGCTGCCCTGGGCGGGGGCCGGGGTGGGGGGGCGGGGGTGTCTGATTTCCCAGGGCTCTGTGTTTGAGAGGATGGCCCCACTTGTCTGTGGGAACTCCACCCATGCCTCTGATTCTGTGTGTGATTAATGAGTGAGTGACCGTTTGTGTGTGTGTCTGTGTGTGTGTCCACCCCGTGGGCCATCTGGGGTGGAGAGACCTGTGTACAAGGCCTCAAGGTTAAAACAATTTGTGTAATGCTGCTCGCCAGGCCTTTGCAGCCCTCAGGATGAGAAGCAGATGTCGCTGTGGGAGGAGCTGCAGGGAAGCTGCCCTCTGCTCCCCTCCAGATCAGCCTCTCTCTTCCCCAACTCAGCCCAGCGTGAAGACCTCATCTGAGCTCCTTCCAAAGCACTGGCCTAGGGTCTGCTCCCTCTAGCTCCCAGACATTACTAAAGGCATGCACACACCCCGCCCTGGGGCCTGGCTCCCTGAAAACATCTCCCCCCCACCCCCAGAAGTCAAAATGGCCTGTCCAGCGCACTCCCTCCCTGCCTTTTTTTCCTCCAGAAAGGGGACCTTGAGACTTAGAGAGGGAGTCACTGGAGAACCATGCAACTTTTTCCTTTATGGGACACTTCCGTGATAGGGCCTGGTCTTCCTAATAGGCTTATCTGCCTCAACTTTTACTCATATTCTCCCCTCCAAGTTGATATAGCACTAGTTGAGTGAACACACCCCCAACAATGTCAAGTTTGTGGGTCCACAACGTAGAACTCTTTCTGTTTTCTTCATGGCCTCTGACTGCGGGGGGTTTATATACCTGTGTATTGTTGAGGTTGGATGCTACATGAGCAGGGAGTTCTGTCTTGCTACTCACTCGAGCAGTGCCTAGCATGTCGGTGCTCACTGACTACCAGAGAATGGAACTAATGGCATGTCCTGTAGGGGCTGGGCATCAGCTTTGCTGGGATCCCAGCTGAAAAGTGAGCATGCGCCTTCCAAGAACCCCTTCATTCTCACAAGGCAGTTGAGGTTGTTTTTTTTTTTTTTTTAAGGGCAACTGAGAATTCAAGTTGTGGTGAGGTTGGGAATGGGGTGCAGGGGTGGGGTGGGGGCCCAGGAGGACTGCTAGGAGGACTAACTGCCGTGACCTCTTCTCTTCTCACTAGCTGCCTTCCTTGGGGACATTGCCCTGGATGAGGAGGACTTGAGGGCCTTCCAGACGCAGCAGGCTGCGGATCTCAGGCAGCGTGCAACCCGCAGGTCTCCCTTCAAGGCTGCAGGTACTCTGGGGTGGGTGACCCTCCTGTATCCCAGAGGTGGTCTCCAATTGGAGAGACAAGGAACGGCCCTGTTTCCAGCCAGGGCCTCCCAGTACAGAAGCCAGTGTAAAGACTTATCTCCCCTTGGGATATCTTTATCCCTTCGCCAGAGGAGGAGTAAGTATAGGCATACCAGGACCGAAGAACTGACTTTCTTTTGTTTACAGTTTACAAAAAGCACTTTCAAAAACTTTATCTAACTTGACTGTTCCCAGCCTCCCTCAAAGGTAGGTGTCAGACGACCTCCATTTCAGATACAGGCACTACTGGGGTAATATGACTGGCTCAAGATCACAGAGCTTGTCAGGGATGGAGCTGGGACAGGAAAGCCAAGGCCCTCACGCAACACAATTCCCTCTCCCTTCTGCTCCCACTTTGCAAGCTTCTATGCATCCTGGAAAGCCCATCTCAAGAACTTCTCTTGTGAGATCTGGCCTGCTCACCCACAGCCTTTATCTCTGTTTTCTTTTCTCTCTCTGCTCTGCTCTTACCCTACTAGTATCTCACATATCATGCTCTATTTCATTGATTTGTTTATGTCTGTCTCCCCTGTTGAACCAGAAGTTCCTAAAAGCTAGGGATGGTTCCTTCTTACCTTGGATATGTCCCAAGTACCTCCCAACCCACCTAGCACTTGTGAATGGGTGAGCAAAGGGAGAAATTAGGGCCGGCTGGCTCAATTCAGTCCAGGTTTCTCAGGACTCTGGAACGTGGGCCTGCCAACGTTTAGTTAGCTCTCCCACTACTAAAAGGTGGGATTCTCCCCTGGGCATGCTCTGGGCACACATTAATAGTGTTGGCTAGTTGTTCTGTCCAGCTTGAGTGAAGACCCTGGCATGGACAGCCCATGGAATAAAGGACAAACTGTTCCAGGGAGCAGCAAACACTGGAGGGAATAACCTGTTGGCCAGGTAACTAGCAAGGCTGACTTGACCTTCATGGGGACCAGGAGACACCAGGAGAAAGCAGAGGGGGAGTTGCATCACCTGATCTCCCACTGGCCCATCAGGCTTCCTCATTGCAGATGTGACAGGGCTGGAACCATCACAGAGAGCTAGTGTGTGAAATGAGAAGTGTTTGAAAGTGCTTGTAGAAGACATCGTTTTGTCTGTCCCATAAATATGAAAGTGTACTAGATAAGATCTAGTCTCAGATCCCCCAATTCCTAGAAAATGGGTACAGTAAGTCCTTGAATAACATCATCTCATTCAACATCATTTAACTAACGAAAAAAGCCGTGATTCCTGGTGAGGCCACTGTCTGTGTAGAATTTGTGTATTCTTCCCAAGACTGCATGGGTTTTCCACAGACACTCCAATTTCCCCCACATCGCAAAGCATGCAAGTTAGGTTTCTTGCTGTATCTAAAGCATGGGCGCATGTGAGACCCATGTTGTGGGAAGGTGTCCTGCCCAGGTTGGGTGACTGCCCTGTGCCCTGAGCGGCAGGGTGGGCTCCCACCCACCCCCTGAACTAGAAGGAGCAGCTGGGGGCTCACATAATTTGAATCCAAATTATTTTTTAAAGTTAGAAGTGTTTTGGGTCTTTATTTAGAAGTTTGGTGAGTTCTGGAAGCCAGAAATATGCCATAGCAATTTAACTCTTGTTCACATTAAGTGACCTGTGGTAACATTGGTTTTGTTTTCTGTCACTTCTTTCAAGTCATCGTTTTCAAGGTCCTATCAAAGGTGTTCAGTGAGGACTTACTGTCCACTGTTGCTCTCTTTTTCAATACAGCCAATTTTCACTATCCACCATAGCTCTGATGTGATGATTATGATAGAATAACCTTCAGTTACACTACAAGCTCACTGCAAACACTGAATTAGCAAATACTGAACCTTAGAGAGACACAGGGTTTGGCTCCTGCCAGCCTCGGTCACCCTATCTTTGTGTGTTTCTGTTTAAGTACACCTTGTTTGATTTACAGTTGATTCATTAACACAGAACCGACGTCTAGCTAACAGCTCTGTAACACATGCCTCTTCAGTTTGTCTGACTTATCTAAATCTAACTTGTGCTTTCCAAGGCACTGCTCAGCTTCTCCAGCTTAGCAACAGTAAGTCAGCCACTGGGAAGGTGAGCATTTTAAAAAGAGAAATCACCCGACAAAAAGCGCGGAAATGCAAAACCCAGGCCCTAAATAGACAGTGACAAGGATGCGCATTGCCAGTTGGGAAGCTAAATAGAGACTGAGCACCATTTTGTTTGACCTTAGCTGGAAACAGGCACTTTGTGCAATTCTGATATTTCACTGTCAGTGAGTGATGGTGAAAGAGCTAAAGCTAGTGAGTCGGGTGGTAAGTAAACTTCATGAGTAGGCAAACACAGAATCCCCAAATAAGAAGAATCCATTATCATCCCCCCTCCTCCCTTCATTCATCTTCTACCATTGTCTTCCTCTTCCAATTCCCAGGGAACTCATCTACCCCCAGCTGTCAGAGTGCTACTTCACAGCCGCAAAGGAGAAGCCGAGGGAGACGGAGAGGCAGGTCCCGAAGCCGGAGGGCTGCCACCTCCCGGCCAGAGCGGGTGTGGCCCGACGGGGTCATCCCCTTTGTCATTGGGGGAAACTTCACAGGTGAGTGTGCTGTGAGGAAGCAGCCTGCATCAGGCCTGGGCTTGGGCTCGTCCTGCCGTGCCCCTGACATGCGCGGTGCCTTCTGTTTATCTGTCCAACAAACTGCTACAGACTCCTAAGTGGGCGGGTGGAGGAGGGCCAGACTGGACGCAGAGACAGACTGGCCTTCCTGGTCCTGGCAGGCAGCCAGAGGGCAGTCTTCCGGCAGGCCATGAGGCACTGGGAGAAGCACACCTGCGTGACCTTCCTGGAGCGCACAGATGAGGACAGCTATATCGTATTCACCTACCGGCCCTGCGGGTAAGCAGGACTCCTGGGCTCTGTGCCCTCGGCCATCGCCCCACCCGCGTGGTGACCTGGGCGTTGGAGCTGCCCATGGGGACACAGCCCTGCATCATCTGTCCCCTTCTACCTCGGCACATCTCCCCAGGAGGTGGCCTGAGCCTCCCACACGCAAGTCCTTCCCCGCCCTTCTGCTCCCCTGCCCCCTGGCAGCCTGGCCCGGCCCCTGAGTGGATGCACTCCCCCAGCTCGGGACCACCCCCCTGAGCTGGCCCCGCCCTCCAGGTGCTGCTCCTATGTGGGTCGCCGAGGTGGGGGCCCCCAGGCCATCTCCATTGGCAAGAATTGCGACAAGTTCGGCATCGTGGTCCATGAACTGGGCCACGTCATCGGCTTCTGGCACGAGCACACACGGCCCGACCGGGACCGCCACGTCTCCATCGTGCGTGAGAACATCCAGCCAGGTAGTGCCACCTGCCCACTCCTGGCTGCAGGGTTCTGGGGGAGGGGTGCTGGGCTGCTCCCTGGAGTCATCCTTTGTGACTCAGCATTGAGAGTCCTGCCCCTGAGATTCCAGGACATAGCAGCTTAGAGGCCACAGGGCAGTTCTGCAGCTCTTTTAGGGAGCCGGGCAGGGCCTGGCGCTGGGCACACGGGCCTTCCCGAGCAGCAGAGCCCACCTCGCCTTTAGGGTGTGGCGTGGGCAGGGGCAGGGCTCCCCCATGCCACCCCAACCTTTCTCTCACTTCAGCCAGTTCTCTGCTCTCTGCCTGTCTGTCCTCTGAAGGCTATTCTGTTTTTCCTTGCTTTCTCTCCCCTCCCTCCTCCTCCTTCTCTCTCCCAGGCCTCCTCCCGCTCTCCACTGCTTTCATCTTGCTATGGGTCTAGAAGTGGGCCCTCCCCATACTCCCTTTGAACCTTTCCTTCAGCAAGTCCTCACTCAGCCTGTCCCTCTGCTGGACAGACTCTTCCAGAGACCCTCCCTCCCCCCCCAGGCTTCCCTTAGCTGCTCCCAGGACCCTCTGGTAGGGGGGCACCTCTCAAACCCAAGGAGGACCCCATTCCCACCCTGAAAAGGGGGCACTGCATCCACACAGACCCGCCCCTCCCACCCCCACCCCCTTTTCCTGGTCTTCGCAGGGCAGGAGTATAACTTCCTGAAGATGGAGGTACAGGAGGTGGAGTCTCTGGACGAGACCTATGACTTTGACAGTATCATGCACTATGCCCGGAACACGTTCTCCAGGTGAGAAATGGCCTGGCCTCTCCTGGCAGCACAAGCCTGCTTGCCAGGGGAGTCAGCAAGGACAGAGTGGACCTCTGGGCTGTCCAGCAGAGAGTTCTCGGGTGCTGCTTCACTGCTCTTTTCTTCCACGTAGGGCCCAGGCAGGCCCTCACTCACAGGCCCTAGGTCCTCACCTGGGACTGCACGCGGCGGCCGGAAGGCTGCACCCTGCTGCTCTGCCAGGCACCAGCACAGGGCTCCCAGTCCCAAGAGCTCCGAGCTGTTCCCTCACCCCTTGGCCAAAGGGGGCACATTTTTCTGACTGGGGCTCCCTTATCGATCTGCCTGCCTTTTTGTAATTGGACAAAGTCTGGCTCCTTTCCTCCACTGGACCCCTCCTCAGCTCTCTTTAAAGCTCCTCTTCTTTAGCCTGGCCCCAGTGAGCCAGTGTCCCCACCCCAGCTTCTCCTAAGCACAGTGCGGGAAGCCACCCCCCCCACTCCTCACACCCCCCACATCCCTCACCCGGCCTGTCCCATGCCTGGCTCTTTCCTCTGTCTCTGCTCTTCAGCTGTCTCAGAACTGGCCCTCCCCCTCTCCTGCCTGTCCCTCCCAGACCCACTCTTCCTGCCCTCAGACATGAGGGAAAAGACTAAGGACGGTGGTGAGGTCATCCTGCCCCCACACCCACAGACCCCCACCCGGAACATTTCCCACCGCATCCCACCCCACCCCCTGCTGAGCTCCACCCAGCTGGGTGTGAGTCAGGGCTCTGGGGAGGTGGAGGGCTGCCCGTTTCCCCTCCACGCTGCCCCTCCCAGATGCAGACACCCAGGATTTAGTGGGGAAGCTCTGGGCGGTGGGGGGCTGGGAGAGCAGGAGATGCTGCTGGGCAAGAGCTGGCCGCACTGTCCCCAGGGTCTGTCCTGCCACGTGGAACCTGCCCTTCGGCCTTGTCCCACGTGCTGTCAGAAGCAGCCTCCATGTCAGCAGGGTGAAGCGTTGACCTTGGATCTGCCTGGGAGAAGCCCAAGCAGGGCTGAATCAGCATGGGGGGCCCAGAAGCTGGGGCTGGGTGGGGCTGGGGACTAGGGTTACCAAGTTCTCATGGGGTTAGGAGTCAGGGCCATACTGAGCTGGGGCAGCAATGGGTCCCCGGGGCGTCCTGGGGCTCCCCAGGGGCTGTGGCTGCCACGGGGCAGGGTGGCTGAGATCAGTGGGCAGCATAATGACAGGGTGAGACGTCTCCGCCTGTCCCGGACCCTGCTGTGGAATGTCTGGGCTTTGGCAGGGTCATGACCTTGGGTGCCCACAGCAGCCTCCCCTGCTTTCAGCAGCCTCTCACCCAGGCCCGACTTTTCCTCCCCAGGGGCATCTTTCTGGACACCATTGTCCCCAAGTATGAGGTGAATGGGGTGAAACCTCCCATCGGCCAAAGGACTCGGCTCAGCAAGGGGGACATCGCCCAGGCCCGAAAGCTCTACAAGTGTCCAGGTCAGGGCAGGGAGGAATGGAGGGCAGGGGGGAGGGAGGCAGAGGCCAGGGCCTGGGTGCAAGCTTCAAGCTTTCAGTCTTAGAGAAGGCTGAGACTGCCTGGTGTAGGGACATGGCCCTCGGGGAGGGTCATCACCACGTGTGGGACCAAACTGGACCCCTGACCAGTAAGATACTGAGCACCCACCTCCGAGGGCGTGAGCGAATGGGGGTGTGGAGCGGACAATAGGAAAGAAGAGAGCGTACATCTCACGGAGAGGAGGCTCGCTGGAGCAGCGCCACCTGAAGTCTGGAGCATGTTGCCTTGACACAGGCCTGGCAGGGAAGTGGGGTGGCTTTGCTTCCATGTGAGGAGCAGGGGGTAGATCTTTTTTTTTTAAGATTTATTTATTTATGTATACAGAACTGGGGTACAGGCCAGAGGTGCAGGGGCGGTGCTGTCAGAAGCAGCCCCCATGTCAGCAGGGTGACTGGAGACAGAGCGGGGAGCAGAACAGGCAGATCGAGGAAGGACACTGCTGAGGGGAGCAGCTGGCGGGTCAGGAGAGGTCTGCTGCACCATGTGGGTCACCTCCGGGGCGGGGATCGAACTCGCACTGCAGTGGCTGCGGCCAGCTTGCTATGCTACTGTCCTGACCCTTTGGGCCACCAGGGAGGGCCCCACAGGAGGTAGATCTTAAAGGGCAGGACCATTCTACACTCCCTGTTCTCCTCAGCCACTCTCCGGTGCCCCAAAGAAGCCAGGGTGGGGAAGCCAGAAGGAAGGGAGAACTGGGTCCCTGAAGCCAACCACACAGGCCTTCCCTTTCCTTGACAGCCTGTGGAGAGACCCTACAAGACAGCACCGGCAACTTCTCCTCCCCCGAGTACCCCAACGGCTACTCTGCCCACATGCACTGTGTATGGCGCATCTCCGTCACACCTGGGGAGAAGGTAATCGGGCATGCCCTCCCTGCCAGAACCCCCAGAGTAGTGTGGCTCCTCCCCAGAACCGCCGTGACTGTCAGTGCCTGCGGGTCCGTCTGCCCCACTGGAGTGAAAAGCAAGCACCTCACTAGCAGAGGGACCCCCACCATCTCTAGCCTTCCAGGCATCTCCCAGCAGTTTGTCAGTGAAGGCCGACTGGCTCGGCGGCCCAGACCATGCAACCGCCACGTCTGTAAGTGCTGCTCAGACCCATTCACTGCTGTGGAATCCAGCTGCTTCCCTGCCCCACCCTGGATCTTCCATATCTTTCAAACTTTTATTGCTCCAGGATACAGCCTTAAGACGTAATTTCCCTTGATCGGAACATGGTACTTAATGTACCAGCGTCCATCCGGATTATTTTATTATTGGCCACATTGTTCATTCCGACAGTTCTAGATCATTTTGAACTGGAGTCCCAACTGCCAGCAGGTAGCCATCTCTTTTTCTCTGCCATGAGCTCATTCGATAAGTAGATCCTCTAGGTCTCCCCGCCTGGGACACAAGCCAGAGCACTCCCTCTGCACTGATGCGACCCACTCATCTGCAGGCTTTGGGCAGTTATTCCACCAGCAATGACATCGCGCAGTGTGGTAGCATCCAGCCACCTTGTGCGGTGAGCTGCTTCCCAGACCACGCCTTGTCTCGATCTCGTCAGCAGGAAGTGGTTAATAAATGCTGAACACGTAGGTCGATTGCCTCACCAAATCAAATCCACTGTTTCACCAGTTAGTAAAACCCCTGCAACAAAAGAAGAGAAATTTGACGTTCATGTTTCAAGTGAGCCCAAACTAGCTCCCAGTAATCCAGTGTTTCTTTTCTAAATGGTCTCAAACCTTCTGTTTAATTGAGGATTGACATTCAGCTCAGTGGTTTGCAGTTCCCAGAATCCACTCCAAGCCCTCTCCCCATGCACACAAGTACATATACACCCCCTGGAAGGTTGTTCTGAGTTGTCAAGATTACAGATGCTCATCACAGCTGCAAGTTGTTTGAATGTCTTCTGATGTCATTTTTGAGCCCAGAGAGGAAAGCCAACTTAAAGAGGTGCTCACTGGCTTTCTGCCTCCAGTATTGAGCTCCCTTTTCTTTTCCAAACTGCTTATTTTTTTTTAAGATTTATTTATTTATGCATACAAGAGATGGGGTACAGACCAGAGGTGGGGAGTAAGTGGATTCACCAAAGACAGTAGGGAGCAGAACAGGCAGATCAACCAAAATGCACTGCTGAGGGGAGCAGCGGGTGGGCCAGGAGAGGTCTGCCACGCCATGTGGGTCACCTCCAGAGCGGGGGATCGAACTCGCACTGAAGCGGCTGCAGCTAGCTGGCAGTGCTGTGCTCTAACCTGTTGCGCCACCAGGGAGGGCCTAAACTGCGCTTATTTTAATTTTTGTAATCTGAAGGTCATTCTCATTTCTTTTGAGTAATTATGTCATATCTCATGGTTAACTTTCTGCTGTCTTCCTTCAAAAGTGAATCCATCCCTTCCTTGTTCTGCTTCTTATTCTAAATCTAACTGAAGATAGCCATCATTTTTGCTATCTTGTAATGGTTGTCCCCTGGTTCCTCTTATCCCTCTGCAAGGGTCTCTACCACTCTAGCCTTTGGAAATCTCCCTGCAGATAATAATAATGATATTACTACTACTTCTAATAGCCATTAATGATTATCGAACATATAATCCTTAACATGTGTATCCTTTAATTGGCACAACAACAATATAAGCTGGGTACAATATTATCCCATTTTGCATATGTGCAAAATTAGGAAAAATTAGGCAACTTGCTCAAGACCACAGAGAACTTGACTTATAAATACAAAAGTCCATGATTGCAATGCTATATGCATTCTAAAGCTCTGTCCCATTCCAACAACTACTCAAGTATCCATCAACAAACCTGTGTCCTGGACACTGGGACAGGAAGATGCACAGACAACCCCTCACCCCCACCCAGAGCAGCTGTGTAGAGCTTTGCTTTCTCTCCTGTTGGAGGTTTACTCAGCTGGCAGGGATGTGGCAGCCTAGTTGACTTCAGCACTTTTCCCTGCTGTTCTGGGCTGGCCCGGGCTGGCCCTGGTCTCTGGTGAACACCTGGTCTTATTCCAGGAGCCTTTCTATGCCTCAGGCCTGTCCCTTCCATAACCCCCAGAAAACTCCCCTCCTTATTCAGAAGCCTGCCTGGAACTCCAGGGGGAGAAGCAGGTTTTGGGTGAGAAGCCCTGATGAACTAATAATAGTTGTGGGAATGTAACACTAAACACAGTTCATGCTCCTGGATGAAACTATGGAGGTGTAAGTGAACCAGTGGTGACCCTGGGTGGGGGGGGACATTGACAGGGGCAAGATAGTCAGAAAAAGCTGATGTTGTAAGAGAATAGTGATCACTCTTTGTCATCTAACTGTAACGTGCCAGGCAAACTTACACGTCGTCTATGTGTTCTTTCATTGCTCCTCCAAAGTTTGTGATGACCTGGGTACGTGATCCCCACTGGACAGGTGAGAGACTTGACACTCAAGGGTGCGAGTAAATCTGCACACGTTTCCATGAGTGGTAGTGGCAGGATCAGCACGCAGACTCCAAAGTCTATGCTCTTTCAAACTTGAAATAAGTCCACCTGTGTTAGCAGATGGACTTTGACATCTATTTTGGCTACCCAGAGGTTGTTTTTCAAAGGCTTCTCAATTCTCAACTTTTTGCCAGAAATGTGATAGGTGAATCTATTTTTTTTTTAAGGTTTATTTATTTATACATACAGAACTGGGGCACAAGCCAGAGCTGCAAGGTAGGTGGTGAGAAGATTCACCAGAGAGAGAGTGGCAGGCTGACTGAAATACACTGCTGAGGGGAGCAGCAGGTGGGTCAGTCAGGAGAGGTCTGCCTGCCACGCCATGTGGGTCACCTCCCTGGCCAGGGATTGAACTCGTGCTGCAGTGGCTGCAGTGCTGTGCTTTAACCCGCACACCACCAGGGAGGGCCCAATAGGTGAATCTTATCTGATACCATTATGCAAGCCAAGGGCTTGTCACACAAGGAAAGAGCCACTCTGGAAGGCTTCTCTTAGTCTCCCCAAGTCTACACGGTTTACTATTAGCAGCTGCCCCAAAGAGGATTTTCACTTTCCCAAGCAGCAAAGGCAGCTTCCTTATGAGCAAGCATGCCTCTTGCACCTGGCAGTGGCCATCCTCATTCCCGTTTCTACCTTCTGATACCTGCTTGTGCTCCTGACAAATTCTGCCTCCTCTGGAATGCCTTCCCTGACCCGACCTCCTTTCCCCAACCTGGCTGCAATTACTCCTGCCCGCTCTGCAGGGCCTGTGCTGGACCCTCCCCTAAGTCCTTACCTCTCCTTGCTGACAGTGTGTGGCTCCTAGGATGGGTGTGGAGGGGCGGAGTGGACATTTTGTCTTTGCACAGTGGTTGGGCAGGACAGATTGGCAGCCCCAGGGAGGCCACATGGAGCAATGTCAGTGGATCAGGGTGTCAGTTGCAGAACCAGAGTGGCTGAATTTGACTCCCAGATGTGTTGTTCAGTGCTTCTATGAACTTGGAGAAGATTTTGCTCATTTGTAAACTCTGATCTCCATAACGTGCTAGGCTGGAGGCGATCACAGCGTGGGAGGCAGCGGGGATGAATCCATAGTCACCGTTGTCATTCCTGTATACTTAATCTCGTAAATGAGTAAACCCAGGCCGCTTCCCTGGTACCATCTGCCTTCCCCCACTTTCAGGCGTCTTCTCTGAACCATCTCAAATATCAAACTATCTTAAGCAAACTCAGCTCAGAGTGAATTTAACTTTTCTTGAGTACTACAGCCTGTTGGCTGTCTGTCTGCAGGTGGCGTGCACCATACATATGTAGGTGTCTAATGCCATTGTGAGCTTCATATATACGAATTAATTCGAAGCTGAGGCAAGTACTTAAGCCACTACAGTCTTACAAATAAGGGAATGAAGACATAGGCGAGTTAAAGGGGGCCTACGACCCTGCAGGAGCCGGACCGGTGCCCGATCGCGGGTCCCCAGGGCCATGTGTCCTCTTAGTTCCTCCTTGAGCTCAGCCAATAAACAAGTACTTCCCCCA